GGCTTACCAAATGTGCTGGCTTCATATATTATGCTAAACCACAAGTAAGCAAACCATACCATGGCTTAATGCAATATATGGCTAAGACTACAAGTATTGCTGGGAAGTTAAGCTAGTAGGAGTTAGCATTCATTTTATGTTTTTTAATTTCTTAGAATATTGAGATCGGCAACTGAAATGAGGTGCAATGAAGTATTCCAAGTAGGCCACTAGTTATCCCTGACAGTCCAGACATGATCTGCATGCATAATTCAACATTTGGACATTGGTTCTTAGTTTACAACTAAAAGATACCTGTTCAGAATTGAAGAGCCTTGTTTATTTTTTGCAAATTTGCAGAGATTCATCGTTACCTAGCTCCCTTCTCTCTGCATAAAATATGAAATGCCAACCTAAGGTATCACACTAGAAAGCCAAAGGCAATTTGAATATCTTGTCATATATGTGCGGCCCATGTCTTTTTGTGCTTATCGCCACTGTGTGGATGGAATAATTTTTTTCACCTCAATCCCTAGTGAAAGTATGAAAGGGTTTATTTAACTTTCTTGAACTCCTGGGTAGTTGAATTCTCTGTGGTTAGAAAGCCTTCTCTGCAAATCTGAAATCAATTAATGACATGTTTAAAGAGTTGAAAATAGTACCTTTTGTAAATCAAATGAGATCCATTGCTCAGTCTTACAGATAGTCTTTGCTTAATGCCTGGACTTTAATAAAAAAAAAAAAGCCTCCTAGAAGAATGTAATTTTTGAGAAATATTTAAAAAGGCAGAATATTATATTTCCCTAGAGGAGAAACATGTTTCTAAAGACAGAAACCAGCTCCCTGCCCCCAGCAGATATTTGGTGCCCATTAAGTAGGACTGGGCCAGCCTATCTACAAAACAAAAGACTTTCAGCTCCAGGGTGATGGGATTAAGACATGACCCTCCAGGACATAATCTAGTAGCAGAGCTCACCACATTGCAAAATCATCTGGGGACAATGCATCACCCTCCAGGCTTCAACCAAACTTCTCAGACAACCTACAGGGTTACCCCTACAACAGCCAATAGAACACATGTTCTTGAACAGGAACAGGAAACTCAAGGGCAAGGCCCAAGAGAAGGTATAAATAACCCCCTCTCAACTCAGCTTCCCAGAACCATGTGCTTGGTGGTTCTGCTTCACCATTAAATCATCTTTCCATGTTTCTAATGTTTTTTTCTCCCGACTTAGAACGGAACCAGATGGATATTTCTTTCAACACCATCCTTGAAGTATATGTTGCACATACCTCTGGTCACATGATAGCATTTTGGGCGCTTGCAAATGGCTTGCATTTATGACTGTCATGGTCATGTGAGTTCAGTTTGTGACATCTTTTGCTATTTTCCAGCAGAAAAAGCAAAACATGTCAACAGAATATGCTGGAAACGCTCAACATCTTGGTGGATGACATTGCTTTATCAAATAGATACAGTATTCCTCAAAAGTTTGGGAAGAATCTGTTTTTTAAAAAAAAACAAACTTGGTCATATAAATCTTAACAGAAGGCTTACATATCATACTACCTTTGTGATTTGATCACTTATTTCTGACTTTTAATAGATTTATATGAGGGGGAACACAATATAGAGGTTTAAGAGCTGTGTATGACCCAAAGTTTGTAGTCCACTGTTTTTAGGGTGTGGAATAGGCAATGCTTACCTGAATCTGTCAATGAAGAAGTTGGGGAGTATTTGAGCCAAAGTCCCAAGACCGAAGGTGAGGCATTGGCATGAAGATAAAAGGACAGTGGTTTATTTTTGAGATCTATGTGCTTAGGCTGCCCTATCCCACATGATCAGCATGCAGCCTTCTTCATTTAGTTTAATTATGTGTGCTGTCATCATGTGAACCTGGAAAAAAAAATCAAACTAGATGAGGACCTCGTTCAATACTAACTGGTTCACAGGTTTTGATATTGTTATTTCACTTGTGAGCGGAGATTGTATGCATTGGTTCAGAAAATTCATCGTTCTGCTTGTTGATTGATACATGAAAAATAGGTTGGAGCAGGACAAATCATGTCCTTTTAAAGGTAAATATTAAGGTAAAGGTTCCCCTCGCACATATGTGCTAGTCATTCCCAACTCTAGGGGGCGGTGTTCATCTTCGTTTCAAAGCCGAAGAGCCAGCGCTGTCCAAAGACATCTCTGTGGTCATGTGACCGGCATGATTAAACACCAGAGGCACACGGAACGCTGTGACTTTCCCACCAAAGATGGTCCCTATTTTTCTACTTGCATTTTTTACGTGCTTTCAAACTGCTAGGTTGGCAGAAGCTGGGATAAGTAACGGAGTTCACCCCGTTACGTGGCACTAGGGATTCGAACTGCTGACCTTTCAATAGACAAACTCAGCGTCTTAGCTACTGAGCCACTGCATCCCTTTAAAGGTAAATACCATCTTGCAAAACTGACCCACAACACTCTACAAATGGTTTTGTACAGGAACAGTGGCTGCCCAGTTTAATTGTCTCACTTTAAGACTAGCCAAAAAATACCCAGCTGGAGGTAGAAGCTCTGTTGGGGCATTTTCTCATTTCTGATCTTGGGAGACTGAACTCCACCTGGCCTCTCTTGTCCCCGAGCGATGCATTTTGACTGTGAATGTGGCCAAAGGCTCTTTGGATGAAGTCGTTTGGTGTGCTTAAGATTTTTCTCCAGCCTCAACTCATCAGCATTGAGAAGCTGCGTTTAGACAAGTGCCAAGTAATGAGAACAGCCCTGAAGTGCAGGTTGCTGGAGGGTCTAATTACACCTCGAGTTATGCTGCTTTTTTTCCTCACTTCCTTTTCTCCCATCAAGATGATGATTAGCCCTATTTATAGGGGCACTGGTTTTTACTATTCAGTGCACTGCACCTTATGCCAATCAAATCAATATCATCTGCATTTTTGATTACTGCTTAATAACACCACTGAACATAGTTTAATTAAAGGAGGATAAAAATAGGCTTTATCTCTCTCTTCTTCGTTTGACATACCTGAGTATCTGCTGCTGCCTCGCTTACACAAAATAAATACATCTTGCTTGCTTGCCTGCCTTGGAGACTGGCACATCCTTACCATGGAGAACTGCTAAATCAGAGCTTATTCTGCTCTTTTGCAAGATAGTCTGATTTCTGTTCCAAAGCCCAATGCATAATGCTGTTGTCAGTAGACATAATATATATGAAGGATGTAGGGGTGCTATTCAGCAGGTTCTGACGGGTTCTGGAGAACCGGTAGCAGGAATTTTGAGTAGTTCAGAGAACCGGCAAATACCACCTCTGGCTGGCCCCAGAGTGGGGTGGAAATGAGGATTTTGCAAAATCCTTCCCCCAGGAGTGGGGAGGGAATGGGGATTTTGCAATAGCCTTCCCCTGCCACACCCACCAAGCCACACCACGCCCGCCAAGCCACACCCACAGAACCGGCAGTAAAAAAAATTGAATTCCACCACTGGAAGGATGTGTCTATGGAGATTCTCAATCATCAAGGTCATGATAGCCTCAAAGGTGCTTTCCAGAAGGCAACTGGACTTTCTTGGGTTCTTTTTTCTTGAAAACATTTTGCTTGAGATGAGATACAATGCAGGTAGTCCTCGACCTATGACCACAATTGAGCCCAAAATTTCGGTTGCCAAGTGACACATTTGTTAAGTGAGTTTTGTTCCATTTTAAGACCTTCCTTGCCAAAGTTGCTAAGTGAATCACTGCAGTTATTAAATTAGTAACACGGTTGCTAAGTGAATCTGGCTTCCCCACTGACTTTGCCTGCCAGAATAATTTCAACGAAGAGAATAAGAATTGTGTGATTCTGACGTGGTACCAACAATGTTATATTTTATTTGATGCAACGAAGAATAAAGAAAATTACACGGGCAAATCAGATTTTTAAAGGCAACGAAACAAAAATAGGTCTTCTAGTCTTTGATGTTGACTACATGGGTAGTCATTACCGATAATAGGAGAAATTGCTTGTGGACAATAAGGAACTATCCCAGATGGCCTTCACAGTGAATTATATGAGATTAATGGGGGTTGTTCAACATCTGGAGAAGCCAATCAAGGAGAATATTTGTAGCTCAGGGTTGAAACAATGGGTCCCTGGGGCTCTCTGAGCTGGGTTGTTTTCGTGCAGATGTTTCATTACCCAAACTAGATAACTGTTGTGTTCCCGCCCTCTGAGCCTATCTCATCGGAGGAAGAAAGCTCCGAACATGAGGGAGAGGAGTCAGTCAGGCCTCCCTCTCCAGGCCCCTCCCGTCTGGCACTGTCTCAGGTGCCGGCCGAGGGAGAGGAGATTAGCCAGGAGCCAGGTGTCTCAGATGAGAGTGAAGAAAGAGAGCCGTCATTCCTGGATGCACGCCAACGAAGGCATGATAAATGGTTGCAGCAGTTAAGGAGGCGTGCTAGGGATTAGAACTGAGTCACTGGACCACACCCCAGAGACTATATAAGAGAGTGTGGTGGCTGGTAAAACTCCGTGACGAACAAAAACTAACTTTGACTAGTCACTTGAACAACGTCTGAAGCTGCCGAAAGGAATATTGTTTTGCTGGACTATTTGCAATGCGTATGTAATTTTATGTTATCTGTTGCAGTAAAAGCTCTTGGCAGACGGTGCTTATATTGTTGCCAAGTTTGAGATAACGACCTGTGTGCGTGCCAAGTACTTTCTTAACCCTCGGCTGGCTGTGTTTGTGTGTGTGTGTGTGTAGACGGGGACAGATCAATAACATCTCCAGTACCATAGTCACTACCATTGATGATGTTACCTAGTTTGGGTAATGAAACATCTGCAAGAAAACAACCCAGCTCAGAGAGCATCAGGGACCCATCATCTGGAGAAGCACACTTTGTCTCTGTTCTGGAGATACCTGTTTTGAAGGTTTTCTTGCTGCAAATACCTGGTAGAACAATCTGTGTTCCCTTCTAATTTAAAAATGAAAGAAATGTGAGTTCCTGGAATCAAATAGACTGTTGGTTTCTTTGCAGGTGAAGATGTCCACTATGACCCAGAAGTATTTCCTGGAAGGTCAGACATATTCTGTTCCCCTCATCCAACCTGACCTCCGCAGGGAAGAAGCTATTCATCAGATAGCAGACACCCTTCAATATCTGCAAAAAATCTCAGGTGACATCTTCAACAGGTAAGGGTCGCTTATATTAGAACCCCAGAAGGAGAAAAATGACATGTTTGTGTGTTTTTCTTCAGGACATGAAGAAAACTGCATAGTCAGTTGGTCTGGTTTTTTGTTTTGTTTTTTCTTGTCTCCAGTAGTGGATCAGTAGCTTTGAAAGTAGCTCTGTGAGTTCTCATTTGTCTAAGTACGAGAATCTTGAAAGAATTCTCATGGGTGTTGATGGTAAGAGTGCAATTTTCCAAATATAGCTGACTTTGGAAAGAGGGATGTAATTTAGATTTGATATATGGTTTGTTAGTATTGGGGGCAGGTTTAACCATTAGATTGGGGCTATGATATATTACTGTTGCACCAGCAACTATTGGGTGGTTTATTATCATATTGTGTCTACAGCTGCATGCAAACCACAGTTGCAACCTTGGAGCTACAGATAGGCTGAAAATTATTCAGAAAGGGGTAGCCAGCATGACTAGGAAGCTAGGAACCCAAGGAAAGATTCCAGTACAGTATTCAGGGGTGCTTAAACCTGGCCTGTGGGGCTGGCCTGGAAATATCAAAGGACTGGCCCACAGTGCTTCTGCTGTCCTGTTTCTGACCGGCAGAGTGTTGCAGGAGGCCCGGATTACAATGAAGTAAGCGCTTGATGTGGATAAAAAACAAGCAATATCCTATGTTAATACTACAGTTTAATGCCAGATTTTACATACTGTAGGTCCATTTAATCTACAATCAGCAATCTGTAATTGACAGCCATTTCTATTTACTATCCTGGAAATTTACCTCTGCTGTTAGATTTTGTATTAACATGTAATTTATGCCTGGAAAACCAATTTACTATTAAACAATAGGGTATAAATTTAGAAATAAAAAGTTTAGTAGAGTATGAAGAATAAGTAATAAATGTTTGCCAGTAATATCTGGTAGAAGAGATAGAAAAATGATTATAGTAAAGAACTGTGGAAAGAAAGAAGAGAAGGGGGAAAAATGTATCTCGAGCCTGTGTCAAATGCCCACCATGGCCACGCCCACCCCAGCCACACCCACCCACACCCCGGCCCTCCAAAGTCAAACATAACCCTGTTGCAGCCCTCATTGAAATCGAATTTGACACCTCTGTTCTGAAGGATCTTCTGCTATGCCACAGGTCTTGATTCTCTTTCCTACTTAATATCTACATAAAATCATTAGTACCAGGCCCAAAACCAAGAACGACACATGGTGATTCTTTCAAGATGAATTATTTATTGTTTTCATACCTACAGACAAAATCCTGCCAGACCAAGCAGTTTCCTGTCTGCATCTACAATATACTCTGAACTATTAGGGAAGGACCATCTTCACTTTTTCTTTCAAATATAACATCAGGATGAGTTACCTCTTCTGGAATGCACCCCCTTCTCTTGGGAATCCAACTCCTTACCACATTTCATCACAATTGGGGGAGTATAGTGTCACTTGTCATTAGTATGTCAGTCCTAAGCTTGACTTCAGATTGAACAAAGTCAAGGTACTGTTAGGGTCTGGAACAGATTTAGGTTCGTCATAGCATGATGGAAAGGCAGTAGGGTTCAGAAATGATACAAAACCAGTAATATTCCATTTTGAATATTCATGCCGAACTGGTTTGTAATCTGGGAGTCCCATGGATTTATAACTATTGTTCAAGGAGTAGCTGGCAACTATGGCAGTGAGAATCTTTGCACAGTTCCATCTTGTGTTTTGGCTGTGTTATGTTTTGTATTCAAGAGGCTTTTTCTTCAAGTCTGTCATGCCATGGCCACCTCTTAGATGGACTCTTGCAATACATTGCAATACATTTCCCCTTGAAAATCCTTTAGAAGCTGTATCTGGTCCAGAATATGGTGGGCTTATTTATTAAAGACCTCCTCCTTTCATCAGCAAAACAGTGTTGGTTCAGAAGCTGGACTAGAGTTACTTGGTAACTTCAAGAGTTAGGTTGTTACCTTTAAAGTCCTTCATGACCTAGGTTTCTGTGGAACTGCCTAGGCCCAGTATCATCATCTGATAATATCCAAACAGGAGGGCACCTCTGGGGAGTGTTATTATCAAGGACCAATGGAGTGGCCTTTCTCTTCATTGCCCCTTTTTCTGTAGAACAATTCTGCTAAGGTTTCAGAAAGCCATTAAGACCTACCTATCTCAAAGGGTCTTGGGTTACTGGCATGAGCATGGACCGTTCCTGCATTGGTTCTCTTGTTTGGTTGTAGTTGGTTTTGCTGTCCCTTGGAGTGGTATTTGGTAAGATTAGGTTATTTTGTTACATCCAGTACTTTTAATCTTCTTACTATAGTGGAAGCCCATTTACACGCCAACTCATATACAGTTGAAATGGCATGTGACCTTTAGCGCCACACAATTATAAAACTTAGTTTTCTAGGTGGCCTTTACTTTTTAAAAAATATTGTCCCCTTTTTTTCTCCTTAAAAACAAGGAGCTTAATGTCAGATGTAAATAAACCATATAGATACATTTCTATAACATTTAGGAGAAAGCAAATTGACTTTTAGAATGTTCTCCTTACTTGGGCAAGTTGTCTTATAAAACACCAAAATGCAAAATGTTAAAATTCAGAGGAAATAATGACTATGATATTCCAATGTATAGATAAGATTACCCTTCTGGTTAATGCCTCCTAGGGGCAAATAGCAATTAATTTTGTGACCCAGAGGTAAATGTAAGCACAAATTTTAAATCCTGTTCTAGTCTGTGCAATAAAAATAATTAAAAATCTTATTAAATAATAACCTCCCAAATGTTAATAATTCTAACTGTTGTTGCAATCCAGAGAGCGTCACCCTTCTCTTGGGTCACCATTCTTCAGAAACCTCTGAGAAGATTGCAAAACTCTTTATCAATAGCTATAAGCTGTTAGACATGGTCTGGTTTCTCCAACAGGCTGTTAACTTCCATAAAATTTTCATATACTTTATCCATATAAAGATAACCAGGTTGGAGTGTTTTAATTTCTTGGCATTTTAGCAATCTTCCATTCTTGTACTTCTCTTAACATGCCTGTCATAATCAAACCTTGGAACACCAGCTCGGTTCTGCTCTCACTCTTGAGTACACGTATGACTGTAATTATTAATTCTTTCCAACAATAGAAGAGACTCCATCAGGTCTTTTGTTTCCTTTGCCTTGCCCTGGAGCTTTGCGATATAATTAATAATGATTTGGTAATTATGCAGGCCTCTGTTTTAAAAGTTTCGCAACCTTGGTTGTTCCGTGCCAATCACAGGGGGAAACTTTCAAGGTGAGGGACTCGCCATTTAGTAGAGAATGACCTTTTCTTCCTGTTTTCTTGAGATAAGGTGTCTAGATCTCACATTTTTTTGTTTTTGTAAAAAAAAAAAAAAAAAAGCTTCAGCTTATCAGAGGAAAACATTCCATTTGAGGTATTAGAGTGAGAATTTGCTTCCTGAGATCATGGATCGGGAGTGCCTATGGTGAAACATGTTCACTGAATATGCCGAAAGAACTTGGGCCTAATATCAAACTGACACAACAGCTCTTTGGAACAGTGCAGTGAGAAGAGTTTTTTTTCCCTTGTGTTCTAAAATTTCCTTAATGTAGAAGCTTATTCCTGTCAGTGCGAGCAGTGAGTATCCCAAGGCTTTCTGCTTTCATTTTAAAAACAAAATTTCTCTGTCCCAGATCTCCAACATGGTGCCTGTGGGCACCAATGTGACTCATAGACAACGATGTTCCCTGTAGGCTCTTCCCTTTACATCTGCTGAGATGCCTACCCCCCACCCTCTAGTATGTGGAGGACTCAACTCAATTATTTCCAGAACGTTAATACCAACATACATTTCCAATTGTAATTATTTTTAAAACCTTGCTTTGCATTGCTTATCTTGGGTTTTCGCCTCTTTTTCCTTGGTCCTTTAATCCATTCTGATTCCACATCTTGTTTAGGACAAATGTTCTTCAACATTGAGAAATTAAATTTATCCTCCTTTTGAGGGGGGGAGACGCAATATGTCAGTCAATGATGGACAGCCCCCCCCCCAAATGATGTGATAAACAAAGTGCTTTTGACCCCAATCGCAAAAACAATATTTCATTTTAGTTGGTTGTTCATTTTAATTGTGAACTAATTAATGAAAATTGTCAACAGAAAGGGTATTGGAAACCTCAGGGAAAAAATATGGCGGGTTGAACTTCTGAGATGATAAGAGTCTTGAGTTATCTCTAAAACCCTTACATGTGGCCTCCAGACTTGTCCAAAATTTTTGCCAGTTGCAACTTTTCTTGTAGGAAATAACTAAATATATTGTAAGTGATCCTATTTGCTAACCCCCTCCCCCCCCACTCCTGGCACATGATGGCCTGGTAGGCCCATTTTTCTTTCTCACCTGGCTCCAGATCCTCTCTGTGCATCTGGGGAGGGTGAAAACAGCCTTCCCCACTCCCTCGGAGGCCCTCCGGAAGCCTGAAACGGCCCATTTCCCAATTCCCCAGGGACAGGAAGTGACTTTTTTGCTGTCCCCAGCCTCCAGAGATTCCTAGAGACTCCATTTCAGGCCTCCAGAGGGCCTCCGAGGTGGTGGGGAAGACTGTTTTCGCCCTCCCCAGATGCATAGAGAGGATCTGGAGCCAGGTGAGAAAGAAAAACAGGCCTTCCCCATCCCCCCCAGGCCCTCCAGAGGCAAGAAACAGCCTGTTTCCCTACTTCTAGTGGGTCAGAAGGCCCGAAAATCAGTTGGCCGGTGCACGCATGCGCCAGAGCTAAGCTGGCATGCCCACTGATATGGCTACGTGTGCCACCTGTGGCACGCGTGCCATAGGTTCACCATCACGGATATAGAGTCTCCTTGACTCGAAGACCTCCAAGGTCCCTTCCAGCTCTGTTCTTATTGGATTGAAACTGCTGTTAGAAAGGAGAGGGAAAAAAATAAAAGGAAGAAAATTACAAGAGATGGTAACTTTCACCAGAAATTATCGTATGGCAACTACCAGTCTCTTGGTACTTCTGTCACATC